GTCTTCATTTCCCTTTTCCCTTTGTACAATCACACCAGCTTCAAACCCCCCTCTTGAAGAGATTTGTCTGCGAGCCGAAAAACGGGTTGGGCTGATACGACGACCGGTAGTTGCCCATCTCTGTGCTGTCGCCCATCTTTCCGTCTGAAAAGTCGCAGGGCGCTACTTTGATATCGCCGCGCATGATTTCCACCATGGACACAAGGGGGAACAGCAGCACGAGGAGCGACAGCAGCTGACCGAAACCCCAACCTCTCTCGCCCTGGTCGCTCAGCTCGTACGAAGGGCCATTGCCAAAGGCATCAGAAGCAATGATGCATCGAACCGCGGCGCCAACAGCCGACGCTGCCATAAGAAGGATGCCGATAATTTTGATAATGTTCATGAACTTTTGCGTCCGCAGGTGGAGGTACCAGCTTGCCAGAGCAAAGACGAGAGCGTTCGCGATGATGACAACAACGGTGCCGACGTAGCTGATCCCTTGTTGGCTTCCTTTTCCCTCGTCGCCGACCACCCACACGCAAGCAACGGGCAGCTTGGATTCCTGCATACCCTTTGATACGCCTTGCAGGATGAAGACGCCATACACGACGTTCAGCGTTAAATTGACAAACATGAGGAATTGGCGGAGCCATCGCAACACCCAATCTCGGCGGAAATCGTGGACCAGAGCGAGAAGCGTCGCGTTGTGGACGGCCATGGAGAGATTTGAGAGCATCCAAATAATGAAGAAGTGATAGGGGACCATGACGTTGATCCTGGCGAGCCCGACGCACGCGATTCCGATGCCCTGGAGGATCTGCTGATCTGAATAACTGTTGAGAAGTTTCCGACGAATGTTTGACGGGTTTCCCTTCATCTCTTGGAAGATGATGGAGGAACTAATGATGAGAGCGAGACCGGCTGTGATGATGAAGGAGAGGAGTACGCCTCGGCCGGCCACGCCGGCATCGCTGGCGACCGGTGCATTCTCCGCGACGGTGCAATTCGGACTGTCAAAGACGGACATTTCGGTGGTGGAATCGAAGAAGTTCGTCGGAGCTGTCGTCTGATTCGAGAAGAGATGCAGGGTCGAGCAATACTGTTGTGAAGGGGTAGACTGGAGGGGAGTCTCGAGGGATAAGGCTGAACGAGTGAAGCCGCCACGCGAATATCGGCTGTGGTCACTATCGACTGGCCAGTCGGTCAAGATGGCGATTTGATCTGCTTCGACAGTTGGACTCGAACCAAGGTCAAACTTTGCAGATCAGATCCTGATGGGAAAGTCTGACTGCATATATGCGCAGGATGAGCCAGGAACTTCGCCCTCCTCCTTTTTTTCCCCTTCTCTTCTCCCAATGGAAATGACGTACGACTAAGCGCTGCCCCTGTCGTCTGAAACGGCCCTCCGCTGGGGAAGACCCTTGAAGCCGATGGACAAGTGGCTCTCAGCGTCCGCCGTCATCTTGTGGGCAGCGTTGGTCGCTGTGGCTGTGCCCCACCATTCGACCCCCGGCCCCGGGAGAGAGGGCGCCAACGCCCTGCAGATCGCCCCGCGATCCTCGGCTGCCACCCGCTGCATCTCCCTTGGAGGTGAGGTTGTACGTACTGCTGCGTATCGCACTAGGTAATTTATCTACACAGTTGTGGCAGTGTATCTATTGACTCCATGATTCCGTATGCTCAAAATTGAAAATAGGCGAGCAGGCAAGCAAGTGATTCTGCTTTGTAGAACTCATTGTATCCGGAGTTGATGATCAGACGCTTCCACTAAGCCAAAGGCCCGTGGTGAAATCCGTGTGCTCATTGGCCAAAAATCACAGATAAGTGGAGATATATCCTGGGTAATAAAACCCGTCTGCTGAGACTCAAACTACTGCGTACCTAAGGTAAGGAACTTCAGGCATTAACTCCATTGTCGCTCATCACTATCCACCGCGAATGAGGGGGTTGCTTTTCGATGAGGGCCATTGAATCAAGAGGAGGCCTTCTATTGCGTACAGTCACTCTCTTACGGCGTTGAAGATGTACGGTAGAAGAGTATGTCCCATCGCTGCCTGAGGGTTCCGCAGCAAGGTGCGAGTCTCTGGGGATACGTCGAACGCTGGAGGTTGAGGCGGGGATAGGGAGGGAGAAAAAGTTGGTGTTGACGATATGAATGGTGAGTTCTCATTTGGTTGATACATGATTCCCTTCTTTGGTATCTGCAGTCTTGGACAGTTGGTTTCGTAGAAGTAAGCTGGGTTAAGTTAGACCTAGTATAGAAACATCGCTTCCGCCCGTCCTCCCCCATTGCACTCTGTAAAGCTAGTGCTATACTGCTCAGTATCAAGGAGCTCCATATCGACTGCGACAATACGGCGGATTCTCATCCGATGATTCGTCAGTAGTACGTCGTCAAACGCATGCCTGCGACTCATTGGATATTTTTATTCTATATATTTAAGGGTCGCCGTGAATCCAGAGTGCCGTTGGGAAAGAGAACTCGTGTCGAGCAGATCACCATTCAAAGTGATGGAGACCACAGTTTTGCTACCGCCAAAACACATCTGAATCCTTTTCATCAATTGTCCTACGGGAAGTAGGTTACACCACCTGATGCCGTCGAATGCCGGCTTTCACGCGGACGACATTCCTAGAGCTTGCGCTGATCTTGTTCTTGCAGACGATAGGCTCCTATGGAATCTCTCCGGGGTCTACCGCCAACAGCTTGATACACTTCTTCAAGGCAGTCGCCAAGGGGAGTATTGCAAATCTTCTCTATTCTCGAATTTCTTCCCCAGGCTCAAGTGCTGGGATCTACTCAATCTACGTCTTGGTATCTTAATTCTCGCCAATTCTTACAAAATCACAAAAAAGCCAACAAAAGAAAAAAAGGAAGCCATCATTACTGAGCACCCGCACCAACATCTTCACCATCATCCCCCAACGCATGCGCCCCCTTACCCTCCGCAGGCGGAAGCCTAACCATGAGAAGCAACCCCAAAGCAGCGACGCAGAACCCAGCGACGCCGAGATACGGCAGCCCGATCCACGCCCCGCCAAGCTTCATCCCCAGACTAAACAAACCAGCAAGCATAGGCTGCGTGTATGTCTGCCCCGCCGTCTCGACGAGCGAGATGATGGAATACAACCGCGTGCGGTGTGCCGCGTCAACGTACACGGCGCAGAGGCTCCGCACGTAGCTCCCCCACCCGGAACCCAGCGCCAGGATCGCCAGCCCGCCGATGAAGGCGCCGATGGTCGGGGACGCGGACATGGTCAGCGCGCCGAGGAGGAGGGCGACGGAGGAGAGGCGGCCCAGGAAGAGGTCGCGCTCGTGGTCGTCTGTGTAGCGTAGCGGTTTCGGGGCTTTGGCGGAGGCGAGGAGCCTGGAGAGGGCGGGGAGGACGGCGACGATGGTGAGGAAGACGCCGAAGCCGTAGAGGGAGGAGAGGTAGCCTGTTTGGGAGAGGGAGACGTGGTACCGCTTCGAGGCGAAGATTGTCATGAATTGGTAGGTTGACATTACGACTGGGTAGGAGCTTAGGGTGGCGACCATGAGGATTACGAGGGAGGGGTTCTTGAGGAGGGCGATGGATTCTTTGAGGCGGGCCAAGGTGTGTTGGATCGTGCCGATGACGGGGGAGTCTGCTTCGGGGGAGTCGGCGATGGGGTCTGAGGAGACTTTGGCGGCGGGAGGTTTGGTTTCCGGGACGAGGTGGATTGTGAAGAGGAGGGTTGCGAAGCCGGCGTAGGCGAGCCACATTACGGGCCAAGGGCCGGTTCGTTCCATCATCCAGCCTGCAATGGCGGGAGCGCAGAGGTTTCCTATCATGGAGGCCAGGTGGACGGCCATGAACTTCTTGGCTCTGTTCGGCGTGTTAGCAGGCTGTACATACGGTAGGAGGAAATACCAAAGAAGGGAACGAACCTGTTCTCCGAGGTTGTCACGTCAGAGAGCATCGAGAACACCACCGCAGATAACACAGCGTTGCCCCCGCCAACGAGCAACATCGACGGCCCAACCCACAAAGCCTTGAGCGGAATCACCTTGGGAAACGCGCACACGACGAGAAACCACGCCTGATCCAGCATCTGTCCCAACACCGCCAACGAAAAAACCTGCTTCCTCCCCAGCCGGTCCGCCACGATCCCCCACGGAAACGCAGACACGGCACCAATGGACGCCTGCAGCGCGCTGTAGACGGCGAAGATCATGGCCACCTCGCTCTGGATCTCGTCCTCCTTGCACTTGGACTCGTCGATGGCGTCCTGGGTGTAGAGGACGCCGTAGTACTGCCGGCAGACGATGTCTTCTACTTTCCGGGTGGTGGGGATGGTCCAGAGGCCGCCGAAGCCGGCGCCGAGGAGGATGATTGTGACAAAGGTCGCGACGATGGCGTCTGCGTTGTGGAGTTTGGGGACGTGGAGCTGGGTCGCTGCGGTGAGGAGGGAGTCTGTTCTGCTGCGGCCTGTTGCTGGTCTCTTGTTGGGCGCTGTTGAGGAAGAGGTTGCGATGAGGGGGGTTGACTCTGTTGATGAGTCTGTGGACGATCTTGGAGAGCCGGCGTCGTCGACGACGGTGTCTTCGTCTGAGTTTTCGGCGCGGGACCGCATCTTGAAGTGTATACGGTTGCCGTCCTTTTGAGTTGGGTTCTGTGGATGAGCAGTGTTGGAATCGAGTTGCAAAGATCTGTGTAACGATGAGGTCTGGCCGTTGTTATATGCGAGATGAAGGCGCACAGGATATCCGGTATGCCACAGCCGGTATCCTCAACATATAGCAATGGCGCGAAATGCCGAGGTGTGGGTAGTCAAGAGATAAGTAGAAAAGGGAAGATAAAGAGGAGACTCCAAGATGTATATGTAGCTGCAGAGTACAATCTTATCCCTGGGATGAGATGCCAGTTTATTGCCGATGCGAATTGGGGGTTTGACGGGGTCTGGACTAGGCTCTCAGACACGCGCAGAGTTCTGAAACGGGGGCCCTCCCTGCGATAGTAGCATACGGGTTCTGAGTGTAAGACGGACAGAATAAAATGCGATTCTTGATTATGCGAGCTGCGTGTTGCTGCTGCTGCCGGATGCGGTCTTGCGTTGTCTGGGTTGTTGCGTCTGACGTGACGACGTGCGTTTGCTGGTGGATGGGAGGAAGAGTGCAGCTATTCCCCCTTTTTTGCCTGTTTAGGATAGGTATTGGGATTCATAGGGCGGTAGGGGTTGGGACTTTGGGTACAGGTCGTGATTTCAATAATTGGCGGGATGACGTGCTTACGACATGGGTAGGAGAAAACAAAAAGAATAGAAAGAAACGGAACAACTGGTAAAGAATGAGTGAGAAGGAAACGCGACGGATCGACTCTTCAAGGGTTGCGTGTGTGTGTGTGTGCTGTCGTTATCTCTCGCGATGGCGTGGACATTGAGCTCCGGAAGGAAAGGGAAGAGAGGAAGATAGAGAGGAAGACAGGGAGAAGAGACACGCACCACGCAGCTGTGCCGTCATCAAACGCAAAAAAGTTGCCAAAGAGTGCGAATTGCGGCTCGCTGCAAGGTCAGCAATGTCGCATACTACGATCTCATAGGTTGGATAACTTGCGTGCCCCGGACATTGGACACTTGGGCTGGCGACAACAAAAGGAAAACCACGTCACTTTCCAGATAATGTCTGGAAGGATCAATTACGCGTTTTGTCTCTTTTTAACGGATACAAAAGTCCTCTCGGACTTGTTATCCGTAAGACGGGGAAGTTGACAGTTGAGGTTGGGTGTTCCAAAAAATAAGCACGGGGCTTCCATCAGGCCGGTTTTCTATTACCCAGCTTCTTATTTAGGGATCGGCGCTTCCTTTTGATTGTGGGCATTTAAATTTCCTAAATAGGACAACGGGTGCGCTGTCAGTTGTCGCTCAATTAAGAAGATTCAAACGACGCTTTAGATAATGAGTACGAAGAATGAAACTATTGAAGAAGAACGGATGGGCCGGCACGGTAAAGCTCACTTAAACATCTATTTCATTCGTAGGTACGAAGCTGGACCTTGAGCTGGTTGCACCCTCCCGCCGGGAACTCAGCCAAATTGAGCTTGACTCGCAAGAATGAAAGTGTAAATACTGGGACGGACGCCGCGGCTCAGGAACGAACGAGGAGCTTGGGACACCGAAGCTCGCGAAACCACCCCTTCTCAACATTGTTCGGACGCTGGAAGACTTCCGATTGGGGAGCGATCTCATGTTCGAGAGCGTAGAGGCCTGTAACTCATGCGGTTTGACCCTCAATCATCTTGCTCTCTCTGCTCTCGTCGACAATGGTGTCCGGCGATGGTACCCGGCGCAAACAGCCAGGTTGGATCGAGCGCCTTACTGATGAGTGAGCGGGTGATGAGTTTAACAATTTCGCAAAAGGCCTACCACAGCTATACGAATCATCAGTACTATTTTGCCTTTCCCATCTTCCCAGTTATCGAACGATCATCTCCTCTTGTGAGGGGGTTTCCGAGGTGCTCATCTTTCCCCCCTCCCGGTAATGAAAAGCATCTGACAAACGCTGCTTGGTAACGAGCCTTTCCCTTAACTCAAAATCCATCTCTCGTCTCCGGTTCCTGATTGATCCCTGGTTTTTGCAACACGGACGCGCGTTCGAAGTCGGCAGAAACTCTTTTTTACTTCTCCATCACCCAACGGCGCGAATCCGACAAAGCCGATGGCGCGTATCATTCTTTTTGTCGTATTCAGCAAATAACGACCAGGAACTGGGGCCCAACCGTCTGTCGCGACACGTGTTTTCAAAGACGTACACACGTCCTAACGTATGATCCGTTCGGCGAAGTGCCCAAACGTGTTTTTCTTTAACTATTTCCATTCACGCCTAGAAGAGAGGCGAAGAGTGTCGGTTGGATGTAAGGAAGGAGATTAGGACATGCCCTTACCGGCCGGAAGATGCCGTTGGTCCCCGGCCGATGTGCGCCGCCTCCGAGACTGGTAGTGGAAACCCGGATCGATCCGGCTAGCTGCCGCCGCGCCGCGCCGCGGGTAGCCTGGGATAGCCCGGCCGTGTACTACTTATCTCCAAGTGGCACGGAGCACTGTTACACTGTTATTGATCTCCCCGATGCTGTTTGGCTAGTCTTCCTTATAGTATATAGTCTTATTGCACTAGGCCGTGGGACTGCCAGAGGGCTTTTTCCCTTCCAAAGGCCACTTTCTCTCTCTTGGACTACGATTTGATGTCATGTTTATTCCCTAGGTTGTCGAACCTCCTAGATGGTGGATTCCCCCGACGCATATCTTCAAATTCCTCAACTGTTCACCGAAGCTCACATGGCACTCGCCACTTCTGAGTTGCTTTGGTTAAATCAACATATTCTGCAGCAAATGCCGCTGGAACTCATCAGTTATCTGCCTCGGGTGAACTGATTGAGATTGGGACCAACCAGACGCCTTCGTCACCGACTTTCTCATTTCTTTCATCTGCTTGCGCCTAGTTTGGCCCCGTTTAGTGTCCAACACGCCATAGAGCATTCATTAACATAGCACATCGTTGCTTCTTCGCTCTGTTGGTAACCATTGCTTGGAATCACCGCAATAATCTGAAGACATGATCATCCCGCCGGACTCATCACTCACCCTCGACCATCTCCAGGCTGATCGCTTCCTAGCCGAGTCCTGCTAGTTTGAGAACGACACATGCGGGCAACGTGACGCACTCGTGTTGATCATAACCACCGCCGCGTACGCTATCGGGCTGCTGAGCGCTTAAACCGGAATACCGAATCCGACCATGTCCCCCCGTTCCTGTTGTTTTGGGCTGAAGAGCGGTAAATGAACAAATGGAAGGGGAGAGAGACGTGTGACAAAGTCACAGTGGCCTGGTCCAACAGCCCAACCGTGGCCCAACCAACACAATGTTCAAGTTCCAACAAGACCAACAGGCGCCAAATGTGAGGTGTGAGGTGTCATGGTATCGGACCGTTTTCAATGGACTCTCGTAATCCCATTGTCCGCATCCTCTACCGGAACACGACCGGTGAGCTGGATCTTGGGTTCCGGCAGAACTTGACCTTTTGCCGGGCGAGCTGACTGATATCTGACTCCCTCTCTCGGCAATGTATCGTCCCGGCGGGAGATGATGGATCGGCCATGCTCATGTGGCACCTCGACGATGCCCAGTCTGGCATTTGTCCCTCAAGAAAGGCATACGTTGGTAGGTAAAGAAATTGGCCCGTCGATCGTCTCTCGCTCTGGCCTCGACTGGCAATATTGACTCGAAATGTAACATCGTAACGGATCGACATCAAGGCCTTCGCTGTCCATGATCTAGATCAGGCCCGGCCGCGGTTTCACACACGCGGCTTCGCGCCGAGTCGCGCCGCGGGGAGAGGTCTTGTGACTAAAATGAGCTGCGGCTTGCCGTAAGGAAACGCAGCAGGAGTAACAAGGTGCTTACCATCTCGTATACCAACAAATCCATGGATATACATGTCCACAAAAGAAGCAAACAATCGCTGACACATTCACTTCACTTAACTATGCCGGTTTCCCCCCGGTCTCTTCTTCCAGTCCACCCGCTCTTTCTCTTAAGCCTTTGCGCCGTCTGAATCCTTCCACTCCTCTCCTCTCCCCCCCACACCCCTGTCAATAAAACAATCTCAACGCATCTGAATTAATGCAACGGGAAGCTCCTAGCGAGCTTACGTTGTGCGGAATAGCGGACGAACTCGAGATCGGAAGAGAGGAGAGGGGGGAGGGGCCGGGGACGGGGTTCTCGGCCTGAAGGGGAAACTCAGCCCGCGCCCGCTCATCGGCCCGCAGAACGGGGGTCATCTAAATCATCACACCTCATCTGCGAAGACTAAGAGAGAGGGGCGGTTGCACTAAATCTTTATTCTTTTTATACTCGAGTTCCCTGGTCGACTTAGACGAACCAAGATGCAGTGTTCGTAACTTTGACCAAAAGTCTTGCAAACGCGCATACTGCCCACACGCTCTCACTCATATATCGGTACATTGATCACAGTCGATGTATTGCGTGGTCGACTCGCCAATGCCATAACCGAAGAGATGTTCGCCAGCGGCAAAGCGAGTAATACCGAATCAAAGAGCAATGAACTCCAAGGATCACGGAGCGCAGTCCGCGCGCGATGATTCGGCTCAGGTGGCCAGATTCGTCAACGGCCGAGACCGCAGCGCCCGTACGGCCTCTGGGCATGGGTCGGGATTTGGGAAGGGGAAGCAAACAGATACATTCGAGCAGAAATCATGCTATCATGCTATCGGTTGGAAGAGGGTATAGTAGGTGGTTTGGGGGATCACGGACCAAGAAAGGAAAGAAGAGGAAGAGGAGGAGGGAGCGAGCGAGCGAGCCAGATGGCCACCAACATCTCCAGATCGAAGCTTGCAGGTATCTTCCGGGTTATCGGATGTACATGACGCTGGGAGGATGATGGGATGGGGGAGGGTTGCACAACGTCTCCGAGACTACTCGATCTCTCCGAGGAAGAGGGAAACACAAATACAATGAGAGAGAAGGGAGGTGGTCTTTTGGCAAGGTTGTCGACAAGCTTCCCGCTCAATCGTTCCTCCTATGGATATCTCCCCCAGTAGCAGCGTATTGTCATCGGGGAGGCGGGCTCTAGAACCGAGGAGGAGAGCCTCCAAGTCCGTGATCCTCCGTACTCCTTTAGCTTCTTCTAATGAGTGTTGAGGGTAGATTTGAAGGTGAGTAGATCAAGACACCAAGAGTCAAAACCTCGTTTGTTGCCCAAGATCCAGGAACACAAATCTCCAGCTCCGGATGTACGCCTCGAGGGCCCCCGGAGGATGTGGATACATATGTTCAAGGGCGAAGCGCCTTGACCAACCCTTGTTTTCGATGTTGGTTGCACGGTTGCAACGGTTCCAACCAAACCCCTGTCCTGCCAACGAGGAGAGACCGGGGTAGGGTGTTGGATCGATGCCTACTCAGGGCATTTGCAAAAAGACCAGCATCGCCAACGTCGTTCCCGCTTGTTTGTTTGCGGCTTTGCGACCAGCGCTAACAAGGGGAGCAGGGCTGTGAGGGGAGAGACTCCGAAAGAGAGAGTCGAGACAGAAGGACCTCGACCCGCGGCCGAACGTGCAGGGGGAGGGAAGGGCGGGTTCCGATCCCCCGTCCCAACTCACCTCATTTCTACTTCTCACCAGGTTGTTGGAGGCGGCACGTTCAGGAATTTGAATAAATTCCAGCACGCCGGAACCGACACGCTGGGTCGTCACACTTATCACACCAGATGCTACGTCGTGTAATCTCCCTTCTTCCGCTCTCGTATGCAGTTTGCTCTGGGCGCACCCTGAGCGATTCGAGCGGCTGGTCATAATTGTCGACCGCAGTGAAGCGGGGAGCTTCCGTCCTCTGCCTTTGCCTCTGCCTCTTTGTTGTGTAATACCATTATACGATGTGACGGGGGAACGTGGTTGAAGGATATGATGCGCGACTTACAAACGGTTGTGCAGGTTGCATATCCCCATCCGCAATTCCGCCCTCACGATTCGTGGCGTTGGGCTGGCTTGTCGATGTGTGACTCGTGAGACCCGTCAGGCATCACTCGCCTCCCCTTGTCACCATCAACGACATTGTTTACCTATTTGGGAAGACATGTCTTTGATGCAGAGGAGGGCAGGTAGTGTTCCAGATCCGCTTCCGAAACCTCAGTAGGTATGCTGGACGATAATGTCTCGGAAAGATCGCGCCCTTGATCCCCTTTGGAAAGAAACAGCTGCAATTCAACTTGAGTGCAACTTGCTCTGAGCATATTCTACCTAATGTAGGTCTCGAATGATAGACGCTGTCTAGACTGATGCGACGGAGAGTGTCCGCTTTGAAGTGGGCATATGTTACTGGTGATCGGAAGGTTGATGGTATTACATGACCAGCCCTATTGTGCAACTTGTCCAGTCCTGGACAAGCCCACCACCCCCCATCGTCTCTCCATGCCGTGTTCAAATCAGACTTCCAGGAAGTTGGGAACCGCCAACAGAGATGCGGTCCCAAAACCCGGGCTGCTAGGAGCCCCAGAACCTGGTCGAACACCCCCCCTTGCAAGGTGCAACACGCTTGTTGGTGCAAGACCTTACCACAGTCTCCCACGGCCTACGAGAAACTCGAACGTCCGTCCATCTTTGCTTTTCCCTCATGCCAATTAACAAGTGAAAGCCCCCTCCCATCTCTCCACTTCTTCCCTCTCTGGCATGACGCCACTGCAGGGCAAATAAGTATTCACCCAGGCCTAGTTCCCCTTCTCCTCTTCATCCTCCACCCGTCCCCTGCGTGTGGTTTGATGCCATGGTGCCGTCAAAATCTCTCAGTCTGGATATGGCGTCTAGCTAGTCTAGGTGCCTCTTTCGATCTGCAACTGCAGGGAAACCCTGGTCCGGCCGGTGAGGGCATCAGAACTTGCGATAGGCCTTGAGGCAATGTCCCCTCGTCTAGTCGACCAACAAGAATCGAGACTCCGAGGAGCCGCGGATGTCATGGTGCTTTTCGGGCAGCCGTGTTTGTGTGCAGATTCTTGTCCCGACGGGAACGGGCTGATAGTGGTGTCGAGAGTGATGGCAGACGAAGATGAGATGGTTAAGGTTCCTCTAATGACCGATGGTCGGGACGTAGGAAGAGGCAGAAAGACATGAGAAGGAAAGGTACGAATGGGATGGAGTTCAAGACTTTCGAGTCTTGCCGTTGGCAATAGGTTGCTACGGTAAGTCTTGATGAACCAAAGAGGTAAGTGAATCGCCCACTTCTCACTTTGAAATGCATTATCTGCAAGTTGCAAGACTTATACCCCCTTCCCCTTGTCAGGTGTGTAGCCGCTGCTGCGCGTGCTTGTTCGTCTCCTTCTCTTGTTGGAGGTGCAGGGTACGCTTGTTAGCCCTTGCTTGGCTCTTCCTCATCCTCTTTCCTCCTTGCTTCGTCGTGACGCTTGTTCAGATGGCCTGGCATCCCGTCCTTCATGCAAATTCAATATCCAAGCATCTGGGTCTCCCAGGCAGTGTATAAGAACTGGACGACCGGGGCTACACCTCGAAATCCTTCCGATCTGCCATATGAATCTTCATCCCATCTGACACGAAATTTCGTTGAACTTTTTCTCAGTCTCGACATTCTCGTAAACTCCTACTCGTAGGTTTGCCTGGTTCAGTCTATGAGAGTTATCTTGAACCTAACACTTACAAGAACGTCTACTCGAAAGGAGCAATCGAATCAATCAAGAGAAGCAACATCGTCCGAAAATCTAACAACCTTCAACATGGCACTCTCAGCCGCCGAACACCAAGCTAGAAGACGTCGCTCGACTGCTGCCCCAAGACGTCGCATAGCCTCAGACCCATCCATTACACCCATTCCAAGACGCCCGAGGCTCCTCAGTAACCTCCCAAGTCATCGACGAACGTCTACACCACCAAAACGAAACCAGACATCCAGCCCAACCCAGGCATCTGTAACCGGATCTAGTCCGCCTACGCCAATCGTCGCCTTCTCCGCCCTTTCGAGATCAACTCTCCCCAGGCCATACAATGACTTTTCCCACTTCTTCCAGGACATGTGCCCTGCCCTCCGAAACCGGATTCTCGACCAAGTCGACTGGGACTCCTTACATGGAGGGCCATACTGGCGCACCCAGGGCTACCAGTCGTGGTACGCATCCGACTCCTGCAAGACGGCCTTCATCATCCACGCTGAAGGAAAGTTCCCCAAGATCTGCGCGTGGCCGGAGAAGGAAGAAAGTAAGGGTAAAGGAGACGGCAGGAGGAACTCTACAACAAGGGATAAGTCTCAGGAGGCTGGTGGTACTGCAGCTTCACCCAAGGGGTACGGGTGCTATCGCTGCCACACGATCAAGCCTGAGGCCGCCTTCGAGAAGCTGCCCGACTACTTTGTCGTGTCGTCTGAAGGTTGTATCGTCGGGCGGTACTCCGGCAAAGCCGATGGTGACAAGGAGCAGTCGAGGCTTCCGACACTGCGGAATGGGGAAGGTCTCTTACGTCGCTTCTGTATCGAGTGCGGTGTTAGGGACGGTTTGTATGAGAAGAGGAAGCTCATCACGTCGCTGACGGAAGAGAGGTGGTCGGTCTGTGATTGTCGGCGTCTGCACTGGGTGCCGTCGAATGAGTCGTACATTGAGTGTGAGCACTGTCTCGTGAAGAGTGCTTTCAGACCTCCGGTGTGATGCCTAGACATAGACGTGCTTCCACAAATGTTTGTGAGAGTTGAGATGCTTGTCTGTCTAGCCTGGATTTGGTTGTCGGTGTGGCTATTTGCAATAACTTGTTGGGGTGGTTTCTTCTTCATTGGTGTTCTGGGCTCAGCCTGACGGGATGGCTTTTTTGTCGTTACTCGGCTTTATTGGAAGCGCATTTCATGCTCCTAGCCGGCTGGTCTTTTGTTTCCATTCTTGTCCAGCATGTAAGGTTGGTTGCAGCATTGGTGGGTCGTTAATGCTTCTTGATTGACTTTGATTGGAAAAAAACGCTCTCAAATTGGGGGGAAATTGGAGGAAAACAGGACTTCAGTGGGATTCGAGGGGTAGGAAATACTGTATTGTTAGACTGGGAAGTGGTCATTGATACTTGGAATAGTCTTGATTCAATCGGAACTTCTATTGATACTGATTTTCCCTGCCTGCATCGTTGGAAATCACCGTTTTGATTCTACGTATGGGTTGCCCCCTTCTGGTTCTAAAATGTGTCCTCCTCTCCAATATCTATCCCATGAACCATTTCTTGTATAGTCTATTTGCATTCATCCTTGCTGATTTCTTGTAGTTGCTGGAGAAAATGGCTGCGTTGATCGATACCGGACTCAGTTGTATCCGGATCTGCCTTTCGGTGAAACACCGTGACCATGTTCGCGGGTTCGGTTGTAGCCGCTGCGGCCCTGGGGAACTTCGCGTGATCGATCACTGCTTGAGGTTTTGACGTAATGTGAGCCCTCGTTGAGTCTTCCGCTGGCGTCTCGGTGCCTTGACTGCTGACTAGAACCTGAGCGGCTCGATCTACTTGAGCTTCTGTAGTCCATTGTGATGAGATCTATTGACTAGTATGAGTACATTGCTCTACTGTCCTAAGAGTTGGTATGTATTTACCTGAAAGAGACCTTGCTTGATGTACAGATGATGGGTCCGAGGAAAATGAGGTGACAAGTCGGCTGGTGATGAGCGATCAATGAGTCTGATGGTTGAAGCTGGAAAAATGTGATAAAGTAGCTGCAGACCAGTGAGAAGAAAGGCTCATTCTTATGTGTAGACTGCAAGTGAAGGCGAGTAATGCTTCTGATAACAGTGGACTGATTCAATCATGGGATGTTTGATAACGAAAGCTCGTCCTTTCGAAAGAGACGGGGACGTCCATGGCTTGTATATCTCCCCGGCGGGCTGCACCCTGAAGGAAAGTTCTGCGGGCATGGCATGGCATGGCATCCCATCGGACCGTATGACGAAATGCCGAAGCAAGGACGAATTTTGGTTGCAGAAGGGAAACGCAACAGGAGCAAAAGTGTAGACAGAAAAAAAGAGGCTCGCGCATTGCATTGGGACAAGCTACTTGACATGTGCCTGCTGCGCATGTGGGCTTCACTCTTGTTGAGACTCGGCCGAGGGCGTAGCTCTCCGTCTGAAGTAGGATCACCGCGGCATGGGTTCCTGGCGAGACCCGGTCCTTCTAGCTGCGTTCGATGATCGGACGTGGAAGCCTGGCGGATCAAGACTACCCAAGGGGGTGGGAGAGGAAGCGAACCAGATGGGCCATGATACACCCCTTCCGGGCACAAGACGGGCAAAAGGAACCATTTGCGAGTTGACCAGGGTAACACATGGAAAATCGGGCAGTGACTTTAACAAGTTGCAACGATAAATGATGAAGTGAGCCTGAACATCGGACCCGGAACCCTTCCTAGAGGGCAGCAGAAACATTGAGCTTTGCTACCTGACTGCGTCTTCGCCCAGTCACCGAACGAGGCGTGAGCTTCGGGCATGGCTGACCATGCTAACGGGTCTCCCGGCACGCGGGGCCGGACGGAGGAGAAGCTTTCTTTGCAACTCTGAAGCTCGGATAGACTCCAGAGTCCACGGAATGGAGACCAGCACAGTTTCTTGTCGTTTCTGCTCACCAAGACTCTAAACCAACCCTGCCCCGGGGTGCAAGGAAATTCGCTCGTCTGTGGGTTGACCAGAAGTGTCAGTGCCGAGAGAAAGAACTTTTTTTTCCCTCTCTTCAAACTCAAGGGCTAAACGGCCGACAGGGCGTCTCATCGAGTTTGGAAAATGCAGTGCGAAGGAATAAGATGCGACTCCTGACCAAGAGTTTGAAAAGTGGGCGGCATGGAAGGGTCCGAGTCGAGGAATCACCCGCCGGTCTACCGGCTCCGGACCTCACGTGGAATGTTCCACTCCTTCGGTGCGATCATCGATCCCAACGAGGCGGTGCGCATACTTGCCAGCCAATGCAGGACTATCTTAACTCCCGTCCCTCTCAGCTTCTTGGTGTGGCTAATTCCATCGCACCCGCTTGCGCCTCATGTTCCCTTCTTTGAACTTGACGAGGTCTTCATGGATGCTCCTAGACATTGTCAACTCTTGCTGGACAGTCATCAATCAGCCCTATCCCTATCCCAACAAAGCAGGGCAAAGCTTCGACAGGACACGCAACGTTTCTCATCAGATTGCATCCACATTGCTTTGCTTTCCACGCATGCCTGACCCCGTCACGAACCTTCAACCCTTGCGGTACGTCATCAGGCATGATGCTCGACTCAAGACATGTGTCCGTCTGTCGATGCTTCGCTCGACTTAGCCATGCACCGGCGTGAGGCAATACCTCCGTCTCTACGCGACACCAAGCGTCTCTCTTGCGCCCTCTTTTCTTTTTCTCTTACTCTTCGTCCCTGCATACTTCAAAAAACCTTTGTCTTTTCTACTCCCGGCGGGAGGACCTTGCATAAGCTCCGGACTATTTCTGCCAAAGCGCGAAACAAATGCCCCGAAAGAACTCGTGGCGGACTCGATTGGGTCGTACTTTACGCACACGTCAAGTTTTCCTCCCGGCTGGTTCCCCGAAGAACGCGCATCTAGACATTGTGGATATCGGAACACAAGTGACTCATTGCTTTAGACCTCAGAAGTCGAAACCTTGCTTATTGTCGCAGCGTCAGATCCACAGCCTCTCTCTCTCTCTCTCTCTGGAATTGTAAGTCAACATGGATAAGTGTCTTCTTAGACAGGCAAATGGGTTTGACAAGCGCAGCCAAAGCAGTCATAGGCACACACTACCGTGCGAACTATTGCTTCACATTGTCCCTCACCTTTGCGCAACTTTACCACTTTGCTGATATTCTTCCGAAGACGCAAGTTTGATCTGCGGTGTCTGTCAGAATGTTTCTCGATTTCCCACGAGGCTTGGCTTTCTGCTCAGGCCAAATACCTCCTGGACCGAGCGCGCTCCCTGCCTGCGGTTTGTTTGAAACGCGGGAGCAACGCCCGGTTTGTTGAGGGCGCTGGCTGAAATCTGCGACGTTACGCCTGGGCCATGGTTGACGGATGAACACTTGCATTTAGCAGCAGCATTGTCGCAGTCGGCTCGTCTTCCGGTTCCGGGCTTGCGTTGTAACACATGCAGAGCGTAGCGCCGGCCGGTGCCTGGCTTGTCGTCTTGTTTGCCTGCCATAGTTTTCGGACGCCATTTCTCTACACCAGGAGACGCTGACGCGGGTTTGGGCCGGCCGATGGGTGGCAGTCGAGTGGCTGGATCGGTACGGCGGCACGGCTCAAGCTGACGGGTTGGGTTCAACCACATATGCTGAAGCGATTCCATCCAAGTAGGCTCTTCAGCCAATGATTCTACTGGATGATCCTCTGTTGTTGTGCTTCTCGTTCTGTCAGCGTTTCTTTCCTTCGTTCATGTTTTGGTTACATGAAGAGAAAGACATCTATAAAGAGGATGTGCCTACCTTCCTCCTCAAAGGCCCTTTCCAAGCGAGACTTGCAGGAAGTAAAGATGAGGTTTCAAGAATCCGAGGTGCTGACAGATGGCTTTCTTCTGAGAGTTTTGTTCTCAAAGATACTGCCTTAACGGGTCGGTTGACCTATTGAGTCTCTGGCCTCAAGAACGCCCCTCTATCCTTATTCGGGAGACCTCATCGTTGGAGACATGTGCTTTGAGTAATACTCGAAAGTCTCAAGTCTCATCAGTACTCAAGATGATTAATTTAGTGAAAGGTGACTGACTTCAAATCCCAATCAGACTGAGTTTTAGTCCCCGGTTCCCTCCCTCTTGAGAAACGATCCATACCTGCTGTTCTTTCACCACAACCATATGAAAGAAGTCGTGGTTTATATAGAAGAATTTTTGAACAAAGCGAGATTATGAGGGTCTCACGCTGTTTCTTTGGTTGTATTTATTTCACTTTTATAAAACATGATGTGGGAAACTACCACCTGCGATTGCTCGCCCCTGCCGTGAGAATTAATCTCATACTATCGGGTGGGTCGTACCTCCCAACTTTGGCCATCAGATCAGGAAAGGAAGGAATGAATACGAGCTGAGTATAAAGCCATCCAAGCTACTTAACGGCCTCAATTAACCAAAGCTCTTTGAATCTTCTCTTCACTCTTCATTAGGTCTTCACCTCTTCTGCTCAGCTCTTGAGATTTTTGCTTCAAAACAGGGACAACTAAGCAACAGTTTTCTTCGACTTCTACAACATTGAGGTTGTTGGTTATCTTCTGTTTTTTTTTTGTTCCCACCAGGCTTCTGCTTCTGAATATCCGCCGGGTATATTCGTCTCACGTGAATCCTGGCACACACTTCTTTCGGTATGTTGACACACCGTGATATGATTGCTTGACAACGAGAGCAGCAACATTTTGGCAACTGAAATTTTGCTGACGAAAATATGTTCTGTGCAGCTAACACTTTTTTCTTTCTCATTTTGGTTGCGGTCATTTGATCTGGACCAATCCCTAACACCGACCACACAAACAAGGATTTCTTGGAACCACAGCATCAAGCTTTACTTTCCAGCCTCTAGCAACAATATCACCGATCATTTTCCCTTGATTGCTTCACGAAGAAAAACAAGCAAGAGCGACCGCAGGAGAGCATATTTAAGAGATTGGGCACCCAGGATCACATTGAGTGTGAACTTCCCAATTACATCATCCAACTACATCATCCAACTACATCATCAACCTACCTCATTTCTACCATGGAGGCCATTAATTCTTTCCCTCTTGGAGCGATTCATCCTCACAGATATGTCATGGCCCGCGACGACTTCTTTGTCGACTTTCAAGTCCGGACAAAACTTCACACCGATACACACAGCCTTCATGCTGTCCTTGACCTTGCTGTCGAAGCTAAAATGGCCAATAATATCCTGAGCCTGAGCAAGCCGCTTGAGGTAAGTGCGACCTTGGAATCTAAAGATAGAAGGATCCGGCTGACAGCTATCACACACAGAGAATCAAAATTGAATTCCTAGAGTTCCAGGCATTCATCGATTCAATACTGCCCCCTCTTCCATACTCCCAGATTACTTGGAAGACTGTCTACATTGCGCAAGGCATTGTGGTCGATGGTGATGACAATGGAGATGATGATGATGATGATGACGAGGACTACGAACTTGAGGAGGGCTATTGGTCGCAAGGCTCAAGTGCCAGCAGCGTCAATTCCGAAGGGCCATACCAAGGGTAAGTCTCCTCCATCAAAAACCACCTGCCTATCCTAACAACTTGAAGCAACGGCTTTGGCAAGCTTGAATCCCCAATCCTTCTTCAGCCTGCTGAACTGCCGCTTCTCACAACCTACAAGAACGCCAAAGACACCAAGGAGAGGCTGTCAATCTTCTCGAACGAGTTCTTCGAGGTTCGCAAGTCTCCTACGGCTGGCTGGGGCGCTTTCGCGAGTAAGAAGCTGTACAAGGGCGACCAGATCCTCGTCGAAAAGGCCCTCTACCATGCAATTTACGCAGACGTGACCACGTCTGTAAGATCCCTGCCGGAGAAGGAGCGCCTGATCGCGAACAACATGTTTGGCCACAAAGGCCGGGATGGCGAGACTCACGAGGAAGCGGTCTGGAACACGAACGCGTAGGTCACCTGGTCCTTCCCATTCTCTCTTCAACTTTCTGAACCTGATTGAATGACAGCTTCGCGGCATATGTCCCATCCAAGTCGGGTAATAAGAGGAACATGCCTGGTCTTTTCGCCGTCGCGGGCCGATTCAATCACTCATGCTTGCCTAAGATTGACTACAAGTACCGTGCCAGTCACGAGTCTCTTGTGTTCACTGTCAGGGACTGGGTGATTGAAGAGGGCGAGGAGCTGACGATCTCATACGGTCAAGACCCTTCGGTGCTCTACTACAAGTACGGCTTCATCTGCGAGTGTGGTCACTGCCGCAGATTCGACCCGCGCAAGTCCGAGTGGTCTTGAGGCGGCATCAGATCTTCTTTGGCTACGCGACTTTTTGCATCAACGAGGCAGTTGCAGATAATGGAATACAGCGGAGGAGCTTTGATACAGAAACAGGGGCTTTTGGAAGAGCGATAGTTGGTGCGATGTGGTTTTGGTGAGAAATGATACCCATCTTCGTCCATAGAGAGACGAACTGCGTGCTGCGTACAAGGCATAGACGCCCCCTAATACAAGACTTTCTTGATTTTCTGCAAACAAATCATGTCCATGTAGTGCTTCCCTTCAAGTTGAGGTTCTTCGGGAATCATATCAAAACATACAAAAAAAAAAAAAAAGAGCTGTCTGTGGCATTATGTAGGACCACCAAATTCGAACTCGCAACCCTTACGGGACCCAATTATGCGTAAATACGTCCGCCACTAGGTCATAGACACATTCAAACGGCGCTCATTGCTTTCCATCCGAGGATTCCGGCCTATAGAGGCAGGGTTGGAGTGGTTGTGGTTTATTCGTGAGTTTATTCCATGTCCACTGTGGACCGACATGGAATCGCTGATTGTCGAGTCGGCCCTGTTCAGATTTTGATAAGTGGAGGAGCAGCAGAACGAACTGTTCTCCTTCCAGCCCTTTGACGTCTTTTCACTTCGACGTTATGCACATCCAGAGAACACTGGCTAAAGTCAAGTCAAGAAACATATGCTTTTGGGTAAAATGGTAGGTATCAAAGGCGCAACTACCGTCACGTCGACTGCCATATCCAGTCCTCATGAGTTTAGCCCCTCAAGATAAAAAAAATAAAATTCCATCCAATACTATCACACCACCACCTTACAGTCTGCGGAGAATATCCTCGATAACCTCAGTGGTCTTGGCGGTACCGCCCAAGTCGGGGCTGAGAAGCTTGCCCTCCTCGAGGTTGGCATCGACAGCGGCGTAGATCTTGGCGGCAGCGGTCTCCTCGTTGAGGAACTCGAGCATGAGGGCGGCGGAGCGGATGGTGGCAATGGGGTTGGCAATGTTCTGGAACTGGATATCCGGGGCGCTGCCGTGGCAGGGCTCACCAATAGCGAAGCCCTCGCCGACGTTGGCGCTGGGCACGAGACCGAGGGAGCCGACGAGGGCGGCGGCGCCGTCGGAGAGGATGTCGCCGTACAGGTTGGGTGCGACGATGACGTCGTAGTCCTCCGGCTGGCGGAAGAGCTTGTAAACCATGGAGTCGACGATCTGCTCCTCGACGGAGACCTTGCCGGCGAAGCGGGGGTCGGCGAGGGCGGCCTTGGAGGTGGCGCGGAAGAGGCCGTCGGTCTGGGAGAGGACGTTGGACTTGTGGGTGATTGTGACGAGGGGGCGGGAGTGGATGCTGGCGGCGCCGGCGTCGCGGATCTTTTGGCGGCGGAGGGCGATCTCGCCGGCCATGGCGGCGATGCGGTGGGAGGCGTTTTCGGAGATGCGCTTGATGGCCTCGGCGACCTTGCCGTTGGGGCCGTCGTACGTCTTCTCCTCCTTGACGTAGAGGTCCTCGGTGTTCTCGCGGACAATGACCATGTCGATGGGCTTGGCGGCGGTCAGGACGGTCTTGACGGGGCGGACGTTGGCGTAGAGGTCGAGCTTCTTGCGGAGGGCGACGATGGGGGAGGAGTAGCCCTTGACGGGGGTGGTCGGGGAAGAGACGGCGCCAAAGAGGGCGCCATCGCACTCCTTCTTGAGGATCTCAACCGTCTTGTCGGGGAGGGCGGCGCCAGTCTGCTCGAAGGTCTCGAAGCCGGCCTTGAGGTCGGTGAACTCGAACTTGAGGCCGAGGTAGGAGGGGAGGGCCTCGAGGACGCGGCGGCCGGCGGGGATGACCTCCTTGCCGATGCCGTCACCGGGAATGAGGCCTGTGGGCAAGTGTGTTAACGTGGGTTACAGAACGAAAACAGGTCAATTGTCCTGATCAAAGATAGTCTTACCGATTCTAAGAGTTCTGACAGACATGATGGGCGTCAATTGGCGTCCAAAGTGCTGGTTTGACGGATGGATGAGGGAATGTTGAAGCAGAAGCTCTAGGAGAATGAGTCGCAAAAGTAAAAAAAAGCCCACCTCACCTGCACGGTCGATATCGGAGGTACGGGCCATGCACACCGAGGGCCGATCCGGCGAGCGACCAATTGGTGGTCGGCACTGACAAGATCCCCCAGGGTCCTCAGTGCCTTTACTGGCTTACCTTAGCCGCGGTACGTACTTTGCGGGTGTGCATCGGAGCTCTCTAGAACACGGTTGATTCCGCACTATTGCGTCAAGTCACGGTTACATTGGCAAATCTGGGATGCACAGTAGCACCAGAAGCGCGTCTTGGGACTCTGTTTGATTCGCTTTCGCGACAATTGACCGGGTCGTGGGCTTTGAGTTTAACTTGGAACTTGGCTTCGGCAGGCTTGGGGATTGATGCGCTGTCAGCCACGATTTTGTCAGCATCCATCCGCCTTGTCCATTGCGGGCTATGAGTGAACACGAGAACCGTCCTCTGAGACGGAAAATATATCTACATGCCCGTCGCCGAAATTCGACCAAGGGACGGACAGCACACAGTACATTGAAAGCCAGTCAGTCAGCATATGAGAAAGCTCATTGAAAAGAGTGAGGAGTGGCCTATGGGTAGACCTGGAGCAAGGGCCGAGACTGGTGAGAAATTTCCTCCCCACATTCTGCACTTCTTAGCGTGTTGAAAAGAGACGGTCGAAGAGCGGAAAAAGGGCCCCCAAACCCGGTTCTTCCCTGTTACTGCGAGCTTCCAGAAGACGGGAGGTTCGCCTCGCGCCGGGGAGCGGTATGACCACCCCCAGAAGCTGGAGTCCTTGAGTCTCCGTCCCGAGATGGGAGGTGATGTTCACTTGCCACTGCTGGTGGACACGGCTAGGACACATAGCGGAGGCGGGATCGAGACTGGAGTGATTAACAACTGGGTAGAATGAAGAGGGGTTCTCGGGTTCAAGTGTTCCAGATACACAACTTCTCCTCACTACGGACATTGAACAGGCACGCGAGGCAAAAAACATGACGGTAGTTTTGAGGTTATTGATTGATAATGGAGATGGGGCCTTTCTCATAGTTGCTGGAGCAGCCGGACATGGTAGCAATAATGAAACGGGACTGAATGTCAACAATGCTAACTTTGTTCTCCTTCCGCTGCTGTACGGATACCTGCGCGTCTTTTTCTTTCCTTTGTCCCCGCGCGTCTGAGGGGCTCGAGAAGGACCCCCTTTCTTTTCAACGAATAATGCATTATGTTCCTGTATAATGGGCCAGAGCTAAGGTACGATAGACGACAAAAGGCGGTAAGCCAAACCGCATGCAGTTACAAGATACACGATGGGCTCTGCAGATTGCGCACTAATGCACAAAACGGATAGGAGATTGAAGAGGCTGTCTGAAACAGGAGACCGTGCATAAGTATCCCGATACGTAGCTTCCCATTTTGGAGGGGAAAGACAGCGAGAAGGAACGGAGCTGTTCAGAAACACCAATTCACAGACAAAGAAAGAGAGAAAATACACAGGAGGGAACGTTTGATAATTCGAAATCAACGGCCACCAACCGTCACGCCAATCCGCCTAGTCAGGTACGAACCGGAACAGAGTCATTGCTCTCCGGCTAGCTGATTCCGATGACTGCCAGACTGACACTGGCGCCGGCCTGTTCGTCTCGTTCAATTTGCCCGTGCCCCGATTTCTGAAGGAACCGTCCAGCAGATACACTCATTGAGGCTTTTTAGCACGGCCATCGTTGACACAACCTCCCGACTAGCTTAGAACGCCAATTTTCAGGTGTGAGGGGCGTCATTGGGGGCCAGTTGGCTTCTTCCGTTTCCCGACTCTTACTTCGTAGACTCTTGAGGCCCAAAGGACGGGCAATCACGAGAACCCAAGCTACCTTAGAAAAGGGGGCCAGCGATGAGATCCCAGGGCTCATCGCCAGTAACTACCCACCACTCTACATGATGAAACCAAAGAGTCACTGCCATTCAATCAGTTCCGTAGTGTACTGACGTGTCTGGAGAAGCTGCATTCTGATACCAGAGCAGTGGCCCAGAGGAAATGAGCTTCCTTCCAGAACCATGTTCTCTGGTAAATTGACCCCGGCCGAGCCAATGGATTTCCCACTCGGGGTCCCTGCAGTCGAATTCGAGAAGCGAAAGAGGATGATCCAGGGCCAGTAACACGGGGCGGATTGCTGCACTGCTGCAGACATCCTGCATAGAGGAGGCACATGTCCGCACCGGTGCTGTATAGATGCATAAGTACCTATCCTTACACATTACGGACGCTTGAGGTATCTCAAAACTGGATATCTTTGCTCCACTCAAGCTTCAAGTACCTTGTACAGCACCCGTACCTTAGCTTGTACCCAAGTGTGTCGATACATCTGCCTTACATAACATCCCACCGCCTTGTGAAGGTGTAAGGAGTGCAACTTTGTATCTGGCAGGCTGGCAAGCGCGTTGGGGCGGTTTGGTAGCGTGGTAGCAGAGCGAGCATGTGCGTTTAGGGGAACCCCTGAATTCCAGTCCAAGTCCCTTACCCCCGACGCAGTATGGTGAAGTGTTCTGTCTGTAAGGTAGCTGTATCAAGTATGGAACTAGGTAATGGATGGATAACTGGTCCTGGATAGTTCAGCATAGACAGACAGACAGATTTACACGGTAGAGAGCGAATAATAGTGGTGGTGGGCTCTTTTGGCTCGTTTGGATCGATCCAGTCACACGCCCATTGCCCAAATATCCACGTCGGCCGTCCCTTTTCCGCCTCTGATTATGATTATGGGGTGTCCGTAATTTAAATGCCAGCCCTGAAGGCCAGAAACCTCACTTCCCTGAGTCTCCCCCTTCTCGAACCACCCACCTTTCGACTCTCGTCTCTTCTCCCCCATACATACATCACCGGCATTATCTCTCTGATCTGGACGGCACGGACACGCAAACGCGCGACGGGACTGACCACCTTACACCTTACACCTCTGAGTTACAACCTACCGAGGCCTGG